GTGGTTTGTTCAAGATGTACGAGGGAGAGGTATGTTTTGTTCAGCTTTTTTGATATCTTCATTGAATGCACTTATAACCAGATCATTCTAAAAAATCAACTAATTTCCGGCCAAGGTAGTTTGGGATAGCAGATTTGAAGTTTTTGAGAAGCTGTTACTCCCAATTATTCATATTACCATACGCGTATGAACATCTTCAGTGTAACTGATAACATTGTAAGTTCTGAATTCAGGTACTGAAGAAGTTTCCAGTAGTGCAACATTTCCGATTTGGCACGCTATTTTCCTTCGAGAAGCGATCGGACATGGATAAAACAGCGTCGAATACTCTGCATCCAATGAACACTGCAGATGCGATTGCTCCAGAAAATCTAGGTAGTTCTATATCGCCCCCACATTCTCCACATTTGCCGAAAATAGATGAATAAAGCTGCTTGCATGCAGCTTTCCCCTAATGACCCCACGTAATTGTTCTCGTTTATTACTGGTATTCAATTTGCCGAGTAGTCCTTTTCGTTTTGATATGAGAGCTGTTCTTCTTCTTCATCAGTACTTAGTCACAGTTTCCGGTTGCATGCCTTTTTAGAGGACTTTTAATTTTTTCGCTCACACAAACATAATTTTCAGATGTGCTGTGTCACATTAATGTATAACTGTTACTGTTAGGAGAGCTTTTTCTTCTTTTGCTCTTGCTGTTCGTATGTGTAGTGATATTTATAAAGCTAAAGTACATTCACCCGTACATAATTGAATGAAACCTATTCAATATTGCAGTTATGTCATCGTAATCAAAGTTGAGACTAAGCAAACTGCTAAATCTGCGCGAAATTGAATTAGAATTCAGTTGCTACCTTTCAACCTGCATTCCTACAAGGCCATCTTCTATTCAAGCGTTGGTAGGCCTGGTTTTAAGGTCTCCACTGCTGTACGAAGTTTTTCGACCGCAGTTGACAAATTCTTGCGCGAACCCGTTTCTTGCGTCTGCATCATCTCCTCTGCCAGTGACTGCAAAACATGACTATTCCAAACCCAGATCAAATGATATAACCTTTTCAAGGGTAAAACGCAAACGCACTTGGGCAGCATTAAAGGCGGGATATAATTTGCCATAAAAAGTTCGCATTCTCACTAAAGCACCGAAAAGGTGAACTTGCATGTTTTCCATGTGTTTCTGCCTTTTGCGCAATCTAGAAATAAGCAAGTAAATCTATAAAATCAAGTCAATAAGATATAAATGTTAAAACCTACGATTTAGATGCCGCATCGTAATCAGCAATAACGCAATTCAAAAGTATTCTTACTGAAAAGTGTGGAATACCAAAAGACTTTAAAACGGAAATATGCGAAAGCATACGGTACTTTGCTCCGGAGAGAAGTGTAAACCGCGTTTTCGTTGACATTCTAACACCTCTCCGTATAAGAACAACCGCTCCTTTGGATCTAAATATCAAAAAAATAGTTTTATGTCCGCAAGAGCTAGTAGTGACTGAAAGGAACTTCATGAACATGAACCTACCACTTCCACCTACAGATCCTACATACATTTCAGCAATTGTCTCAATGATTTTATGTCCATCAGGCAATGCATTCCTGTATTGCCTATAGTCCTTAACATTTGGAAGTGATTTCAAGATTAGCTGAAAGAACTCAGTATTCAAATGAGTAACACCGTAGTATCAGAGCCTTTTACTCACGTCGGGATGTTCTATGATAGGCTCCAACATGTCGTCAATGGAGTCATTTGTAAGGCACGTGAGACACTCGCAAGTAAATCCACGGCCTGCTAGGAAATCCTAAAAATGTCTAAGATGACCATTCGTGAATATACAACAGTGGCCACAAAAACTCACTTCGCGTTCTTGCCTCGTTTTTTTGAAAAACGAAGCTCCATAATTATCACAAATTTCTTCCCCCTTTCTTATACCGGTGCTGACAAAAATCAGCTTATTCTCGTAAAAACTGAAAAATCGGATTTTTTGCTACCCGGTTATGAAGTGAAGCAACAAAACGTACAAGCTATTCAAATTTGCACGGCATGAGTGATTAAAACAGCAAGCTATCGGAAAAAGACCAACACCAGCTGGTATTGGACTGGGTATGTTGGCTCCACTAAAGAGCTTAAAATTACGACCATGAAAATCTGGAAAGAAAAAA